GGAGAAAGGTTTGGATTGTTGGTGATATTGGGAGGAGAAAGGTTTGGATTGTTGGTGATATTGGGAGGAGAAAAGTTTGGATTGTTGGTGGAATTTGGAGGGGGAAAGGTTTTGATTGTTGGTGATATTGGGAGGGGAAAGGTTTGGATTGTTGGTGATATTGGGAGGGGAAAGGTTTGGATTGTTGGTGATATTGGGAGGAGTAAGGTTTGGATTGATTGTTGGTGATATTGGGAGGAGAAAGGTTTGGATTGTTGGTGATATTGGGAGGAGAAAGGTTTGGATCGTTGGTGATATTGGGAGGAGAAAGGTTTGGATCGTTGGTGATATTGGGAGGAGAAAGGTTTGGATCGTTGGTGATATTGGGAGGAGAAAGGTTTGGATCGTTGGTGATATTGGGAGGAGAAAGGTTTGGATCGTTGGTTAAAATTGGGAGAAGGAATATCTGGATTGTTGTCAAGATCGGGTGGGAAAAAATTTAGATTGTGGGTGGTAGGTTAGAAATTATTTGAAATTCTGCGATAATGACAGAAACGTTCAGCAAAATTGTGCGTAAAAAGTATGTATGATTTAGAATGGTCATAAGGGATCGTTTGTAATCAACCAACTTTAGGATTTTATCGTATTCAAATATTGGTTATATGATCCTTAAAATCGATAAAATGGTATTTTGATAGATTACATGAAGCTCTCGATTTATCCATCATTACATTTTCTTCTGGGATAGTTGATACATGGGAAATAAAGGAAATTTAAAACGTCTTACACGTCTACAACGACACCAGAACGCTAGAAGATTGACAGCTAAACCCCATAATTAGCCAGTAAGAGTTATATTCGTCATTTTATAACAGGGTCGTACTTTTATTTTCCTTTCATGTAAAAAAATAACATAGAAATCTGGGCGTTGTAAGAAATATAATAAACATCCTCCCGTGTCATACACAAAAAATCCAATAGCTATGTTGAAAACACAAAAGCCTTGATTGTTTACTTTACAAGAACATCATTGGCTCCACGGCTCATGCAGTTCCAATTTCAGTAGCAAGTAAATTCAATTCTTAAGCACTTAAGAAATCAGTGAAGGAAAGCTAAATGGTTAGGTACACAAATGAATAAATGGACTTAATTTGCATACTCAGCTTTACTGTCGGTATACCGTACTTATATAACGGGAGAGTCGTGGTATAGTCTGCAAGCAAACAATTAAGTTGATGGTGAAGAGAGAGGAGAGCAGATGTTCCGGCGCCTAGAACTCGTTGTGTCAGCAATATACTGTTAAATATGTTTCTTTCTATAAATATGTGTTTGTTGATTTTTCAATACTGCGTTAATTAATGGTAACCACCTGATGTCTCCCAGACAACATCGTGACTGAGAGGCTGGATACAGATATATCCATCAGTACTGGTAGCACACACAAGGAATTCGAGCGAATTATTCGGCATTAAAAATACATTTCATATACATTAAAACCCTAATTTTAGCCTTAACGAATCCGTACCAAACATATAAATTATTTTTACTCAAGAGTTTCGTTTTTGTTTGTACCGTTACACAACCATGGTAAGAACTTAATCCTTCAGTATAAGCATCCAGTCTTATGATTCAAAGCAAACTTTATATAAATCTAAAGATTCTAATCTTTTGTATGTAAAACCTTTTAAATAAATGAATCTTTTATTCAATATACCGAAACTGTTACAAGATAATGACACAACAGTTTTAATTTGAATGTCGGTGATGTTACTGGCTCTGATTTACATCGATATGAAATTTTGCTATTTGTAATTTAAAAACACTTACAAGACTATTAGTTGTTATATGAACAAAGGATACGAGTGTTAAAGTTCTTGTTTTGTAATTTCAGCAACAGGCATAAAACTTGGGTATGCTGACAGGGATTTTGTGAGATAATGTTCTATAAAAAGTGTTGACCATATGTTTTGATATCTGGGATAAGTGGGAGGAAAAGATGGGAAAGGGGGATACAGCGCGAGAGGAGCGCGAGACATTCGTCTGGGAGCTAATATGTTATCTACACACAGCATGTAAATGATTGGTGTGATAAGTAAGTAAATAAGGAACAAGCACTCTTCCTACTCGTGTTAATGCCGGCTGATTCAGAGCACCAAGCAGTCTGATAAGCATAGCTACTTTTCTATTGACTTATTACGTCAGAGCGTGTGTGATATTTCTAACGAAATGGGTGTCACTCACACAAACGTGCACTTCGATATAACTTTTAATAGTAACACTATAAGAATGATATAAGGCTTATGAAATCTACTGATACTTGTCCGAAAAGTCCTTTTTGAATTGCATAATTTTTGTGTTGACAGGTGGAGAAAACGTTTTTATTATAACAAAACTTCCAACCAAAGGTTGATCGGAAGTTTACAGTCGTATCCAGAAGTCAACACTACGACACGAAGTCAAATTCAAGTTTTAACAGAAATTCTTGATTTTTTTTCGATTTATGTATTTATTGCCTAACGGAAATCGAATAATTTATACATAGCATATTCCATAAGAAATGACGAGAATATAAAAGGTCTTAATATTAACATTTTTACATTTAAAAGATCATGATACACATTTGCGTTTGAAGTTGTACCTGTCTTTAAAGATATACCACAAGGCATGATAAAAGATATGTAAATAAAAATAGGAATGTATGTATGTATGTATGTATGTATGTGTGTGTGTGTGTGTGTGTGTGTGTGTGTGTGTGTGTGTGTGTGTGTGTGTGTGTGTGTGTGTGTGTGTGTGTGTGTGTGTGTGTGTGTGTGTGTGTGTGTGTGTGTGTGTGTGTGTGTGTGTATTGTGTTTATAGACAATGCATTCAAGAAAAGGATCATTTCTGAAACTGTTGTAATGTATTAACGTCGATAATATTCTATTTCCGGTCACCTGACAGGATATGGATAAATTTCGTCTTGAAGGCTGAGGACGTATTTGATATTCTGATTTCTTTTTCCGTCGACCGTAGACAGGTTATCCAGACTAATCTTTGTAACGTTATTAAAACTTACCCGTTCATAGAAAAATATATCCAGCGAAAGACACGGTATAGGTCGATTTCTACGGTAGTTACCCTGGGGATAGCCGACGATCTATCTGTTGGGAAAAAACTGTAGACTAGTACGATAGATTTATCTAGCAACTTATATTACTATAATCTTGTCGCGTCAGCTTTGTGTCGCCGGAAGTGGGTATTAGAGAAAGACCCGAGCGACTGATGCCCAGAAACGGTTTTTATGATGGTAGTAGCACTTTCGAGATTTTATCACAGTTCTGCGACACTTGAGGAAGCGGAAATACAGATTTATCATGACAAACCACCATAAAACACAGTAAAGAGTATACATCGAGCTTGCTAGTCTTAATGTATGTTCGCTCTGTCGCCTGCGCTTACCCAATAAAGTCAATTTTATCCGTACGGAATACTAGGAAAGCACACAAAGGTCTTCGGTTATATAACAGTTGTCCCGTCTATATGGCCAATACCAGAGACAAAATTTCATTTCAAAATTAAAGGCTTCAACACAGAATAAAACAGCTATCGTCTGGAGCAGTATTTCCTTGAATAAACTTCCTGTATCGGCAACAATCATTTATCTACCAGCCAATGTATTCTTCTTGCTATTGTAACGGGGAGGGGGGAGTTCTGTTATGAAACTGTTATGGTAGTGAATGGTGTGTTATCCTTTCGGTAAAAGGAATGCCGCTTTATAATACCGCTATTTATAGATCTTTTTTATTTCACCACAAACTAGGCATTACGGTGGTTCAAATTATCTATTGTTTGTGTCCGTTCAACGATGTAATATTCCATTTGTCCATATTTGAGGTCACCTCTGAAGAACTTTTGTTTTTCCTTCCTTTGTTATTTTTACGCTGTAGTGTGTTTTCCCCTTAGTGTAGTGACATAATGGTGTTGATTCATTGTCCTGCTGATTGTTGACAATGCGACATGATTGCTTGTAATATCGACACTGTAATATATATATATACCTTCGTAAGTTATAATATTCTTTAATAATCTCCCACATAAGGATTTCCTGCACATTGCCATCTCGGTCTATGTGTCTGATATCAATATATAATACTTCTGACAGAGTTGTTCAAACATATGCGAAGATACATATCATTACAGTTAATTCCCAGCTTATCTAATCTAGAGGTTTTGTCTTTACTACTTAAAGGCATTTTATTATTTAACAGTGTTCCAACATGACACGTGATATTCTGGATTTCCTTAGATTAGCAAATTGCCATATTGCCTGGTTTTAGTGTATTAGGCTTAATGAATTCTACACAGCGTCACTGAACAAACAGAAAACACTACTCACTGGTAGCTTCGCCGACCGATCTGGCTACCTTCTCAGTCCTTACTCTCGACAGTGAGAGGCTTATGACAAGTGGTTAGAGACTTAAGTCATCCTTTCGAATGGTAAAATAGATTAATTCATGTATTTGAATAAAGTGTGTAACGCGGTTACCAAAGAGGCATCAAAATATCAAGAATGATACAGTCGCTGGCAGGATTTCATTCCTTGACTTCTGTTAAAGGGACTGATGAAAAATAGCTCTGCCCGCACCCATTACTATACAGTTGGGGTCGGATCTTTAGCTTTCTTTCCTGAACGCACGTTATTTTCTGTTGTTGTTTTCACTGTTGGTGTCCCTCTTGACGCTCGTCATCGTATGACCCTAGCAAAACAAACAAACGTATATATTTATCTAGATAACAGAACAGTGTCGGCAACTAGTGAACAGGGTGTGTCAACAAATCAAAATATCAAGCTAGCATGTCAAGTGAACAGATACCAGGTCAACTTATTTAGCTTGCGGGTCATATAGAGGTGTAACGTGTTAGTTAAAAGTTTTAATGTTTTTTTACGTCCTTTGACCTCATATACATTTTCGGTCTCTTTAAGTTAAAGATTCTGATGTTTGTTTCTTTAATGACTTTTTTCTGTTTTTGTATTTTCCAGAAAACAGATGCCAACAACACTTAGCAGTCAGCTGACCATAGAAAAAACGCCAAGTTATTACGTCATCAAAGGTGTCCCAGAAAAGGTGCACCGAATGGCGAAGCATATAAAACTCATTGTGGTTGTTCGAGATCCTGTTTCTCGGGCGTTATCAGACTATGTACAATTGGCGTCCAAACATTCCGATATCGAGACGTTCGAGGAACTGGCCTTTCTCAATAATGCCACCGGATTGGTGGATACTTCTTGGTCAGTTTTGTGTAATGGTGTATACTCTAAAAGTCTTGTACGGTGGCTTCAATACTTTTCATTAAATCAGTTCCACTTTGTAAGTGGCGAAAGACTAGTGGCCGATCCGGCAGGAGAGATAGCAAAAGTACAAGACTTCCTCGGTCTAAAACGTATGATTACCTCCAAACATTTGTATTTTAACAAAACACGCGGATTTCCTTGCGTGAAAAAGCATGAACGACACGGGAAACCTAGGTGTGTTGGGATAAACGGGGCTAGACACTATCCTACAGTTGCACCTCGACTTTTAAAACGTCTCAGGGATTTTTACAGACCGTTTAATAAACGATTTTACGAAATTACGGGTGAAGATTTCGGATGGGATGATAACAAATAAAGTTATTATTTTTACTGACGTGGTGTTGTGATTTTTATTTTGTGCGAGACACCTGTAGATAAACCACCGACACATTTCGGTCTTTGCGCGGATGTTACTTTTGCTTTGATCACAACCTACACAGGTTATCTAACATACAATGTCTTATTGGCATTTAATTTAAGTATTGGGTAAAAGGTCTAACAATCTAGAAGACTCTATACACAGTATAAACTACGTTAAACATTTAATGCGTGACAATCAACTTGTGTCCTTTCTACATCACCATCTAATTTTTAATAAAAGCAGTTTTAAGAACAAGGGATGCAACCGATGGAAAAAATTGTTTTTTTTCTTGGTGTCTGATATTTTTAATCGTGTGACACAAACTTGGAATAAGAAACAAAAACATTTTATATATAATTGGATTATCTGTATCCATTAAATATGAAATATTAAATGGATAACTACAAGTGCTGTACAAGTGTCATGAACATGAGACAAAAAGAGGTATGTAAGACTGATTCATTTAAATAAGGAAGTTTTCCATTTAAAACAAAATAGCAAGAAGTTTTTTTCAGTACACTAAACAACAAAACCCTTTTAAGATAAATTTTCAGTAAATTTCAAGTAAATGCTTGCTCTATAATAGCTAACTTCCCAATATCACACAGTGATCACGACTGACTTAGCTATAGTGTTAATGGAATCGAGACTGTTTTACTGTAAATCCAAACCAATTGATGATGATGATACGATGTTCTGTCCAAATTTATCCCCATCCATTTGAATCCAGCTGTCCCAACACCAATCTAATACCTTCGTATAGTAAATTATAACAGAGAATGGGCAAAACACTAAATCCAATAAAAAAAGCCCACAGCAGTCTCCAATGAAACGTGAGACGATGCCAATGGATCCGTACTATTGCATCGCCTGTGTACAGTTGATTCATCAGATATGTTATTTATTTCGGACTAGACACTCTGACATTTAATCCACCAGATAAAGAATATAGGACACAATTGTTATTCATGTAATAGAGATGCTGATAATATTTTTTTTTATCTTGGGCAATAATTCTATATCCGAAATGCCAGAGAATGTGTTACACTGGTGATAATAATCTCCATTGGTATGTTGCTACGCTATAGAAGTACTGTTACACTGTAATGTGGTGTGTTCTGAAAGGGTAATATCCCAATATCAGATCCGTATTGGTGACCCTTGCACTCTTTCAGGCTTGTTAACGTGGCTTTCTGTCGTGTAATGACAGTCCTTTGGACGACGTGGGTTATTATTCCAAGTCACTGGAATAATTCTAACATGATAATTCGACAGACAGTCACGACTTCGACGATAATAAAATTAAGTCTTTTCTCTCGATAGGCCTACACGTTGAGGATTTAGCAATACAGAGCGTCGCAAGCGCTAAGAAATGGTCTCCAGCGTTTTTCTTATTTGTTCGACCTTTTAAGAAACAGTTTTCAGCTCATATAAAATGAAAGTAAAGAAATGACATTTTCCTGTTTCAGTGGTACCCAATGTAGCGATCTGTTATCTCTATACCTATCTATAACAATACCCAACAAGCTATGTTGTAGTATGTACCTATCTATTACACAATACAATAAGTCACATTGTAGTACATTTCCATTCTGCCACCAGTTTCCCATTTTGTCTTGTGTGAACGAAATGGTAGTATAGCTATGAACGCCCATCTAGTTAAGCGTATGAACATACATTCGGTGGTGACGGTAAGACGTCCACCAAAAAGTAATCTTGCTAGATATAATGTAATATTTATATTCTGTGTTAATTCGCCTATATATCATTAATACGTTAAATTGTAGTATTTGAGACTGTATACTACAATCTACATCGATTCGGTCGGTGTTGAAATTGATATTCTAGATGTCTCCTCGGTAAACAGAACTGTTCGCCGGTTACTTTCACTTTGGTATCAATATATACAGTGTACAGACATGTCCAAAGTTGTTGGAATTGGGTAAGACCTTAATAAAAAAGTAGCCTTACAAAGCTATAAAATCATAAAGATTGTCAAACATGTACTTTTGCCACAAAATCATTATTATCACCATCAATTACTTGATTACAATGTTTGTCAACTCGTCTGTTAAAATAGACGTCGATCTGACCGTATAAATTCCAAAAATCCGTTACAAACAAAATGTGTTCACCTACGTACAGGACTGACTTCCATTTATGATTTCTTTGGGTATTCTATTACGAATCAATCCGCTCCACGAAAACGTAAACAATTCCCGACGAAACACTAGACACATTGCTTCGTGAAATCTGACTGAGAGCCGCATCACTTTTTAAAGATATATCAACGCGCTATTTTATTTCAAACGAACGAAAATTACATTGTAAAATAATTTAATTATTTTCAAAAAAATGCGAGAGTGGACACTTTTATATCAATAATCGATTTAAATATGTGTCTATACTTTTCCATGCAATTGCTATTTATGACGACACGAGGGAACTATGTTATTACGGCTGCTCTCAGATTTAGACTTGCTGACGTCATTATTTAATTAAGCGGGAATTTTACACGGTGTGTTTATGGTTTTTGATTTGTTTTGAAAGTTGACTGAGAATGGAAAACTAAAATAATAGACTATTACCATGTGTTCTAACGGGCGCTATTCTATATATCTTCCACCCGGATATGCTGCTAATTAAATGTATACTTCATCTAGGAACAGCTTATTGTTTAAATATACCCATATACTGCAATACACAATAACTCTCATCGGATTGTATACTTAATATACTCAAGGGATAAAGAAACGTAAGGTAAACTTTGAAGATGATCCTAGGCAAGACGTCGAGTATAATGTTCAATATTTTAAATTAAGAATGGAGATTAATCCATACAGAACAAACTGCAAAATCAACTGTAAGTGAATTAGGGGTAATTGAAGGGAATTGAAAGAGAACTCTGTAATCTGAAATAAAAAATAGACTGATTGTGGGAGCTGGCTATTCAATACCGGGTATGTTCCTCTCTCCACAGCCATGATTCTCCTAGGCATGGAGTTCATGAGTGAGTTTAGCCTTCTCTTTGGGATGTTGGCCCATTCATCCAAGAGGACTGCTCTCAGTTGGGCCAGAGTAACAGGGGGAGACTGGCGTCGTCGAACCTGTCTATTCAGCTGGCCCCACAAGTGCTCAATAGGTGATAGGTCGAGACTGTATAGCGGCCAGTCCAGTGGGTGGATATTGCTGTTCGAGAGAAAGTCGTGAAAGATCCTCGCTACATGGTCCTGCTGGAATGTGAGGTTGTTTTGCTGTAATAATGGAACAACATGGGGTCGGAGGATCTCATCTCTATACCTAGCGGTAGTTAAATTACCTGCTATCACAACCAGTGGTGATTTAACTCCATGTGAGATTCTTCCCCACACCATAACCGATCCACCCCAAAACTATTCGTCTCTACTACACACCACTTGGTAAAACGTTCTCCATGACGTCGGTATACACGACGTCGACCGTCTCCTCGCAACAGAGTGAACCGGGAGTCAACCAATTCGGTAAGTATCGACTGATACGGAGAAAAGCTGTAACGAAAGACTGCAGCATACTCTCTGAAATCTTGTCTCTATTTTGTGGGAATTTACACATCATGAAGTTTTATAACAAACTCAGTGGGGAAAGAATAAAATATAAACACCAGCAGTACTAAACACCAATTCTATACCAAGATTACATAATTAATTAATTGCTGGCTTGATACGTTCGTAACTATTATTCTTTCCAACATCCTAACTCCGTTTGTATAAAATGTCATGCTTCTTCTTCTTTAATGTATCGATCACAACTTTTTAGAATAATGGTTTCTGATTGTCTGTTGCTTTCAGCTATGTTGTCTTTATAACCTTTCATTCGATGCTATAACACAAGTATGTTACTGTGAACTGTGCAGAATTGGACGTGACCAGTCTTGATGTGTATTTCCACTCGTTAAAAAACATGTAAACTTGGTCACATTTGGCATCAGGTTGGTATAATGCACGCTTTTGATTTATAAGAGACTTCAGATATTGAAAATTCTATTAAATAAAACTCCAGATCCACTCAACCGTCTTTATCATATCAATTATATTTTTTGTACTTTATAGGATGAATACTTTGGTATTTTCAGAATAAGCTAAATATCTACAAAGTATTTTGACAAAATATTGAAATTTGATTAACATCTATAATTTTAAAAAATATAATAGAGTCTTATCAACTATGTGGTCAAATAAAAAATGTAAAATAAAAGGTGAAAAAACCTTCACTTTTGACCTTCAAATCCCTAAAATGATCCCGAACAAAAAAAGGGTCAACAAATGGTAAGGATATCGTGAAGTTTTAGCTTGATGTACTAAACCTATTATTGCTGGTATCCGACATAAAGGCCCTCGATCCAAAGACGACACAAATCTACAATGCCGCATCAAATGACACTTCGGCGAACCACATCAAAATTATGTCACATTCAAATGAATATGATGCCAAACTGATGACTTTAAACAACAAAACAATTGTTAACCATGTCTACCAGAATAGGAAATCAAGAGATGGGGCCGATTCTTCTACATCAACCGCTGACCTCAATCTTTTCCTGCTGGAAAAACAACAAGGATAGTTTTCCATCAAGCTGTATGATAAGCAGACAGATAAACGTACCACACAAGGATTCGAGAATGTTGATGAAGACTATAGGAAAGTTCTATGGTCGCCACCATTATCTCATTAGGCATTTTCTATTTCCTTATGAAGTTTGAAATTAGATGCCCGTTTGTAATCCCCGTTGTTTTTTATGACTCGTTCTCGTTTGAGAGCTACGGGGATGACGCTTACCCTTCCGGAACACCTTGCAGATATTTTCACGTACATGTTTAGGTGTCTCCCAGTAGACCTTTCTGATGGTCATATTTTGCCCTCGTTTCATGGATTTTGAGTTCGAATAACGATTAAAAAATTGTCAGTGTTTTCTTTTTTTAATTACTACAAATCAG